TGGTTCACCTGGTTGGACCCTATAGGGCACTAGCAGGGTAGTCCCTCTCTGGTCACCTGCCGAGTAGCCAGGCTGCCTTCAGTGGGGTCCAGTAGCATTGCTGGCATCATTCTGAGCCCTGGCAGGGCCCTCAGCTCACCTGCACCAGATTCTCCTTTCCAATATGCAGGGCTTGTGGATTCATTGCCCTCCCCTCCTGCCCGCTTACCATCCAACTGCCCCATGTCGAGGATGAACTCAGAAATGCAAAGCAGCCCGGCACTGTGGTGCACATAATCTGCTCAGGAGGATCACAAATTCAAGGCCAGCCTCAGCAATTTAGTGAGACCTTGTCTCTAAATAGAATAAAAAAGGGCTGAGGATATGACTGCCATGGCATGCATGAGGGCCCTGGGTTTCATCCCCAGTACTGAAAGGGGGGAAGGGAAAGAGGGACAAAGGAAAAGCAGCTCTGCTGCTGACTAGGTTTCCTCCTTCTCTGATGACCCTTACACTCAACACGACCTGTTTGGAGCCTGTCTTCTGCCTCTTGTGACCTGTGTCACCTCCTGTCTGGTATCCCTCATCTGACTCACCACCAGGTGGTGTTGGTCTGTTCTTTGAAGATTTCTCTGGTTTTGTCCACTCTCCTCCTGAGCTCCCCCTCCTCCGTCTAAGCCACTACCATTCCCTCTCGTTCTTGTTTCCACATTGCCTTCCCAAGCCACCCAGCCACTTCCCAGCCCTTCACCCTGTGGCTTTCACAGGGGCCTCCCCACTCATCCTCCTGCTGCTCTGAGAGGGAGGGTGAAGCTGCCTACGTGGGCTGCAGGGCCAGGTTCCCTTCCCACCTCGCCCGGGCCCTCTCCCCTGTTTGGCACAGGAGCCTCCCTGGGTCCGTCCTCCTTGCTCACTGCCTTTCCTGCCCCCCACCTCCCACCCCCAGGGCTCTGTATACACCGTTCCTTTGCCCCGTGGCTCTTCCTGCTCCTCTTCCCTGATGAGTTCCTCCTCCTCCTCTGCTTACTCCTCACTGCCTCAGGGCTACCTGAGGCCAGACCCGTTCATTCTTTCCAGCACAGCCCCCTGGTCTATGTGATTGTGTATAATCGTCTCCTTAAACCAGTGCCACACTCTGAAGCCAGGCCACCAGCCTTCATGATCCAGGTTTGTTGTGGATAAACTAAGTAACTTTAGGCTAGTTGTTTACTAACACTGTGCCTCTATTTCTTCATCTGAAAAACTGGTGATTAAAAATCCCTACCCTGAAGGATTATTGAATGCTGGGCACAGGGCAAGCACTCCCATGAGCAGACTGTTAGGAATCATCAGGAGGACTCCTCCCGTACCCAGAGCTCAGTCCTAGATCTTCCCACTGCTCTCCCTTGAGTCTGGGCTCCATATCCAATTTAGAGAGAACTTGGAAATTAGCTACTGGTGTCAGGTGTAGTGGTGCACGCCTGTAATTCCAGCAACTCAGGAGGCTGAGGTAGGAGGTTCACAAGTTTGAGGCCACCCTCATCAACTTAATGAGACTCTGTCTCAGAAAGTTAAAAGGACTGGGGATGAAGCTCATTGGTACAGTGCTGCCCCTGGGTTTGATCTCCAGTACCCAAAAAAAAAAAAAAAAAGAGAGAAAAGAAATCAGATATAGGGCACCACCAGGGCCAGGGAAAAAGAGTGAGTTTCCTGGTTCCTCCAAGGTCAAAGGACAGACAGAAGGAGTCTCAGAATAAAGACATTCTAAGGAAAAGTCTGGGCCCCAAAATAAAGACTTTCCAGCAGATTAGCCATCTTTTCTGTCCACCTTGACCTGACAGGCCCACCCAGCAGCCAGAGGCCCATGAACATGTTTTCCCTCATTGCCCCTACCAGGGGACCCACCTGCTTCTCTTTGGATACTTTCTGGGGGACTGGGGCCAGAGGTCTGCTCCTGAGTAGAGCAAGGGGAGAGGCAATGTGGGCCAAGGGGCTGCTTAGAAGATCAGTTCTTTTTTTTTTTTTTTTCTTTTTTAAAAAAATTATTAATTTTAGATATACATGACAGTAGATTATATTTGAGAGATTATATATACGTGGAATAGGAAGATCAGTTCTCAGTTGCCCTTGAACAAAAGAAAGTTGAGGCTGCTGCGCTATGGATCATGGACTCTCACTGAGACTTCAGAGGTGATTGCCTTTGAAGTATAGCCTTGTCTCTGGGCCTGGCCGGACAGACCCTGTACGGCAGGAAGGTTCCCTGGGTCAAAAGCCCTTTTGGCCAGCCTCAGCTGGGGGATAGATCACAGGTGTGGCCTGGGCTCCCCGACATGGAGCTGGGCAGCAGAGGGAACAGCAGCTGCCTTTGTCCTCTGGGCACTAGGGCAGCACATACTTACTGAGCCCTCCTGTGCACCTGACCCTGGTGTGAGTGTGTGCTTATCCTTTATTGCTCTTAACCAACAGGTAAAGGTGATACATATTATGAAGAAGGTCACGTGATCTGACCTTGCCAGGGATGCCCTAATACACCCTATCTGCCACCCCACATGCTCTCTTTCCCCTTCTCCTGCAGGTTTATTTATTTTGGCTTTATTGTATGCTTGATATCTGCTAGTTTAATTCTCTACCTTTGTTGTTCTCATTTATGAAGTCAGTTTGTTAGTTTCCATCAAAAAAAAATCTTAAATATTTTATTATATTGGTTGAAAACTCTAAGAATAGTATTTCTAAGTTTCAACTTTATCATGGGGGATTCATGTTCTGTGAAAAAGAGGTCTTGTGCTTTATTGGAGTAGAATATTAAGAAAAATAAGCGCCAAACAACATTCTGATGAACAGAAACCTGAAAAGCCTCCTCCTCTTCCCACCCATCCTCCAGGCTCAAAGTAGGATTGGGTGGCATCAGATGGGGCCTGGAAGTGCCTGGTAGTGAGCTCTCTGGTGGCTGCCTCCTGGCACCTAGGCAGTAGTGTAGGCTTAGGGACTGGAGGAAGTGGAGACCAAACACTGGAATAGCACAGTTACTCAGAAGCTTGGCTGGGAAGGAGAGATGCAGATGTGAGGGGAGTGGGCTTTTTAAAGGCTGTCTAATTTGCTAGGAAGAACCCCACCTGGGCTGGCAACCTCCATTAGAGACTCGTAAAGTAGGTGATATCTGTCTGTTCAAAGGAATCTAATATGGACACATTTCAAGGCACATTCCTGCTGAGCTGATATATGGGTCCCCTTGGGACTAAGCGGAGGCTCTGCTGTGCCGCTGATCCAGCACCTCACCCACATGTTTTCTAGACCCACTGTCTCTGCTTTTAGAAATTGGGTTCCTAGGAAAAGTTTAAAAACAAACAAAAAAAATTACAGGCAGGAACGGATACACAGCAGGCTGGGCTCCTCACTGTGGCCTTGAGTCTGGATAAAGGGTTGTCCATCAGAAAGAAGCTGGATGAAGAATGGTTTGAGCTGTGTGAGTTTCTCAGCAGCCAGTGGAAACTTCCAGGAATGCTGCTCAGGCCAGCCGGGGGCTGTTTCCGTTGCCACTTTTACGAGATGCAGACCCTTTTTCCCCCTTTCCCTGGCTGGCCGGCCAGCAATGGGGACGTGATGGTCTCAGCTCTGCCTCTCAGGGTGCATTGCAGTTCATGTTCCACAGGCAGTGATGTTTTCTAGCCTCTATACCGTGACCCAGAGGTCAGAACCCTCACAACCCTGGGGCCAGCTCATTTAAAGAGCCAGTCGGAGCACCCTGTGTGGCAGCAGACATCCTGAGGGATGCTGTGAGGATTTATAGCAGTCTTGAAGGGGAAATTCTCTCCCAAAATGTTTTAATGTTTTATTAAATGTATGAAAGGAAAGTTCACTTTCCACTGGACCAAGGCCCAGAACCTTCATGATGCCCCTGGGATATGGACAAAACCTCTTGGGAGCATCCTCAAGTGAAATTATCTGCCCTTTTTGTGGCCTGTGGGCTACACAGTACAGGAAGCAAGCCTGCGGTGTTCACAGTGACCTCTGCCACACTGGGCTCATCCAGTGGCCAGTGTAGGCCTGCTGTGTAGTAGGCATCAGCAACCCTCAATGAGGGAAGTAAAATGAGCCGACCCGGGCGAGGGTGGCATGTGACTGATGGACAAGCCCATGGTAGGTCAACCCCTCAGTGGCAGGTACACAGGGTGCTCTTCTGTTGACACTGCTCAAAGCTAGAGGAGGTGAACAGGTCTTCATGGTCTGTCTGGGAGCCGTGTCTATAAGATTGGCGCTGACCCATGGAACACGTGCAGCCTCAGGTGGCTAGGTCCCTGGGCAGCTATCATGCTGGGTACAGGAGTGAGACCAGGGGAGCAAGGACTTAGCCTCAGGAAGGCAGTATGATGGCAAGCATGGGCACAGTGGCCAACATGGGTCAAGCTGCATGAGTGTCGAACACTGTGCTGAGTTCCCTGTCCTGTGAGCTCAGCATTGTGCTCTCCACTTACAGAGGAGAAAAGAAATGGCTCAGAGATGGAGCTCTCTGATCACTCTGGGCCTAACCTACAGACAATACATTCCTACAGGTTTCTTCATTGGACTCACACAGAGGTGCTCCTGGGCTTAGGGAACTGATTTCCCAGCTTCTGTCCCCTGCCAGCCTTGGAGTACCCTCAGGTATAGAGGGAAAGGGCCTGCATCAGGACAGAAGTCAGGTGGAGTGCCTTCATTTGTGGGTGCAGTTCCTCATCTCTGGAATGGAAATGGTTGATGGTCTCTAATGGTATATGGACAAATCCTGTCCAGAGAAGGAAGCTGTCTAAATGCCAGGCCACCAGAACTGGGGATTCCTGACCCCTTAGTTGTCTTTTGTCATAGCCCAAGGCTGTGAGACCTGCCATCTGCTTCCCCTCCCTGCATTCTCCCCGTAACATCAAGGACCAACCATCCAGAGACAGAAGCAGTGCACATAAAGGCATCTGCCACCAGAGACGAGGGACAAGGAAGAACCCCACGCATTCTGGCATCAGGCTGGTGGCCCCTGAATCCCCTGAGTCTGTCCATTATTTATTTTGCAGACAGTGTCCATCCTGGAGCAGCGGTTGACATTGACCGAAGACAAGCTGAAGCAGTGTCTGGAGAACCAGCAGCTAATCATGCAGAGAGCAACACCATGATCAGGGGAGCAAGAATCAGGAGCTTGGTCGATTTGGGGGGTGGCAGGCCAGGGGTTTGTACTGCAGGACTTGGGTAATAAATAAAGGGATTCCGCTCTGTGGGAATCACGTCCTTACCGAGCCTAGGAATTGTGCAGTTCTGCCTTCTACCTTGCTATCTGCATCAGGAGGCTCTTCTGGCAGTGGGAGGCCCCAAGTGGGCAGGGCCCACAAGAAAATGCTTGAGTCTCACTGGCAGGACCACATTTAGTTTAACCTGAAGGAGCCACTTGATACTTCTGGTGTCTCTGAGTCCTAAGATTGTGGGCTGTCCCTCTGGAGAACCTTGCTTTTCACTCCATGACTTTCAGCCATGTGACTGGCTTTTCCCATTCCATCCATGACTTAGAATTTGACTGCTCAGCCAGACACTGTAACCCAGACTCAGGAGCCTGAGGCAGAAGGATTGCAAGTTCAAGGCCAGCCTGGGCAACTTAGCGAGACCCCGTCTCAAAATATAAAAAGGGCTGGGGATGTGGTAAAGTGCCACTGGGTTCAAGTTCTAGTACCAAAAAGAAAAGACGGCTCATTGGTTGGATGAACCAGGCCCGAAGCAGGCCCATCTGAGTCAAGTCTATTTAGGAACAAACTCTGTGGAATGGGGGTAATGGCTTTGCAATGACATTGATTTCTGTTCCACATATGTTCACTTGGGCCTGGTGGCTTCCTCCTCTCTCTGCTTGTGAGAACAAAGGAATCTGGAAATTAAAACTGACTTTATTGACTTGCTGAGGAATGGCTTGTTCTGGGTGAGACCTAGTTGGTCCTCCCATCCCCAGGGCCTTTAAGAGGGGAATGAAAATGGCAAAATGGGATGCCCCTGTCCTTTGAGTATTGCCTTTCGGCCCACAACACCCTTCTTTGCAGTACTGATGGAACAAGGGCCACCAGAACCCCCCACATGCCTCCCACCTTCCCCTGGCTGGCCCCCACTGGCTTCTGTTGGGACTGGGGGACTCAGGTACCCACCTTTCCATTTGTTCAGTAGGGTTTCCTTAGGCTCTTTCCTCTGCATCTGAGCTGGGAAGGCCAGGGCAAGTGCCTTCCCTATTACTACATGTCACTCATGCCTTCAGCCTTTTGCGTCTTGGGGCTCAGCCAGCCAGGGAGGTATTCATCCTCACACACCTGCCCTTCCTGGGCAGAGTGGGATCCAGTGTTAGATATTCCCAGAAGCTGGCAGAACCACGAGGTTAATGGGGTCCCAGCCTGAATGCCTAAAAACTTCTACTGACAAGGGGAACAGGCTGTGTTGACTTCTGATAAACAAAAATATGGCAGCTGCCTGCAACCTGCACTGGGTGAGGAGAGAGCAGGTCTCACACTCACGTATCCCCAGCTGTGTGACCTCAACATTGTATTCTAACTTCTCTGAGCTTCAGGCTTTTAATGTCTGAAGTGGTGGTGATGACACCCAGTCCTCTGGATGGTTGGTTACAAGGTATGTGCTGTACTTTACCCAGTGTAGAACAGGTGACCAAGGGAAGCCCATCGCTCCCCACCCCCACCAGTCCCGCTAGGATAACAAGGGGCTGCCAGCTCTGGAAATTGTGAGGCCTCTAGGGATCTGCCGATGTGTGAAAGAGCCTGACCTTACCTAAACTGGCAGGTGAGACTCTAAGCTGCCTTGGGAGGTAGTGAACTCTCCATTCCTGGAGACCTAAGGATAGCCTGGGTGACATGGGTCAACCTGCCCAGAGGGACCCAGCTTGTGGAACAAGCCTTTTCATCTTCCGTGCTCACTTTCCTGCCACTGACCCACCCTGGGGTACCTCTTGTGGCATCCAGACCTGGACTTGGAGCTACCAGCTATTGGGACTCTGATGTTTGAGCAGCCAGCCCAGAGCAAGGCCACCTCCAAAGACAGTTAGTAGTCCATGGCTGGGGCAATAGGACATGAGCAGGTCTCCTAAGACATTGTGTGGTAGTTCTCGCTCAGAGGCCAGACTGGTATTGCCATTTTCTGTCTTCATTTCACACCAGGATCAAGTTTGGAATCCTGCAGAAGAAAATGTAACTTAAGGAGATGGTCTGGGGGTAGTGGTGTGATATTTGCCTTGGTTACTTATTACCCATGGAAGCTCCAGTTATCAGATGTAAACAGGAGGGCACACCAAACACACACTATTTTTCTTGTAAGATGTTATTGACATGACCTAGGGCAGCCCTGGGACATCTTAGAATGCTGTGTTGTCTTGAATATAACAGAGACCTGCCAGGAGCCATCATCCACGCCTATAATCCTAGCAACTCTGGAGACAGAGGCAGGAGGATGAAAAGTTTGAGGCTAGCCTGGGCAACTCAGCAAGACCCTATCTCAAAAGAATTAAAAGGGCTGGGGATGTTACTCGGTGGTAAAGCACCCTGGGTTCAATCTTTACTACAAAAAAAAAAAAAAAAAAGACCTACCTCCTTCATGCTGTAGAGGGGCTAAGACTCTTGTTTAGGGTGAAGTTCTTCTCCTGAGTTTCTTTTCTTGCTCATGTGAGGCCTGACTCAAACTCAATGCTCTGAGTGAGAATCTGGGATCCCAGGTTATACTGGGGCTAGGGGGACCCCTTTTGGAGCCCTGACTACTGACACACTCCAAGCGCTGCCCAGTGGATCCCCTGGGGCTGGGACTGTGACAGACTCCTCCCCACCCCCTCACTGCCAAGCACAAAAGCAGCCCTTCCAGAGATCCAGATGCCTCGCCTCAGCCTTCATCTGTCCTAATGTTGGAGTTCGGTAACTGAACTCCCAGAAATTATGGTTCTCTCCCTCTCACCTCCCCTCTCCTTCCTCTTTCCTCTCCACTCCTTTCCCCTGCCTCCCTCTTTCTCCTTTTCTCTCTCTATCCTTCTCTTTCCTCTTAACCCCCATCCCCACTGCTCTGTCCCCTCCCTGTTCTCCCTCTGTTAGGAGGAGTTTGTTAGCCAGTGCATCTCAGTAGCAATTCTCAATTGCCCCTGCTTCGTATATTAATCTTCCCATGTGAAAGAAAAGAAGAGGTGTCTAGGGTTTACATTGTCGTCCCTTACCAACCCTTTGCCTGATTCTTGGGTTCCAGGGATGAACCTGCATTTCCCACTGAGGATGCAGAGGCAAGCAGACTACCAGATGGGCCTGGACAACAAGTCAGGCCACCCCCAGAAAGAAGCTGCTGAGCCCACCCCATACCGTGACAAGCCCTCCGCCCCTCATCCCTGAGTCACCATGCCCAGGAGCACCTAACTGACTGTGTCCAAAGGTCCCCACAGACCTGTGACTGCTTTTTCAGAGTCTCAGGTGGCACAAGCTGGTCTGCCCTGGGAACACTGCTAACTGCCCGCCCCCCAACCCAACTGTCCTGGGCCCTCTGTCCAGTGATGTGCTTGCCATAGCTTCAAGATTTCTCTGTGGGGTAAGAGTGGGTTTGTGACTCTTGACCCATTGCCAGAGCCCATCTCTGCCTCCCACTGGCTCCATGGCCTTGGAGGAGGTCCCTAAGGGTTCTGGAACTCTGTAAGATAATACCTGTCTCATTGGACACTCGGAGTGACTATGGTCAATGTGTGACTCTGTTACCCCACAACCAGGGCTCCATAAGTCAATGGTACAGGGGACTCAAGGTCCCAGAGTTGTCCTGGCTCAAATTGTACGTGGCTAGCATTGTCTTCTGATCCTGTGGCCCTGCTGTGGGTGTCCCCAGTGGTAGGAAGGAAGTTGGGCCCTCCCTTCTCCCCCCCCACCCCGAAGGTAAGCACTCTGAAACCACTTCTGCTGCCACTAAGGCCACCACTAGGACCAGCACAGGCTTGGGGGTGGATATTTGTGATTGCTTGGAATTCCGGAAACCCAGCCCGCTGAGCAAGCGAGAGCACGGTGAGTCACACTGGCTCTGCAGTCCCAGGTCCCAGCTCCCTCTCACTAACCTTGTCTTCCTGAATGACTTGCTAGAGATGGACCCCTGTTAGCTCCAGCCTTAATTGGTGTGTGGCCATTTAAGGGAGACCAGAAGCTGCCCAGGTTTCTCTCCTCCTCAGGTATCCCCATTCTTCTGCCTCATCCCCCCCTCTCCCCAGGGTGCTAAGAAGGGAACCCCACTGACTAAGGTAGCAGCGGCACCCCTGGTGCGCTTCCAGTGAGCACTGCCGCCCTGGCATGGGGCCTGTCCTAGTGTCTGGTAGGCTCCAGCCCACCCCACCCAGGCTGCCCTGCCACCATAGGCTCATTCTCTTGGCCACTTTGGGAGAGAGTTCCTGTCTCCCTGACCCACGAAGGCCCAGAATGTGGGTCCCTCACGACTGTACTAAGATGAGCCAGCCCAGAGTGCCTGCAGCAAAGCCATTAGGAAGTGCTCTGCGCCAGCCCCTCCTGCCAGGAGCTGCAAGTGGAGACACTCTCCCAAGAACCTATTTATAGAGCACAGCCAGGGAGGGGTTTTGCTTTAGGTTAGGCCACCTAGAGCCCGGCTGCCTGGAAGGCTGCTGGTTGCAGCAACCCCCGCCCCTGCCCACTCTGTCCTACCACCCATGAGAAATTGGGCGTGGGGAAGAGGAACCTCAGCAGAAGAGGAAGTGATGTCCTCCTACCGCTTCCCGTTCTCAGCCCTCTGCTTCTCTTTTAGACACAAGCACATGTTCCTGAAAGGAGGACTTTGTCATGTTTTGTGGGCCCTCCGTGGGTAGAGGCCTGGCCTGCAGGAGCCAGGGCCCATGCAGGGCAGTGTCACTCAGTCACACATACTAATACCACCCCTGTCCATCTTCACCCTAGCTGGCTGTGCATCTGGATTCAGTGTTGGAGTCAAGGTTGCCGTGAGATCCCCGAGTACCTGGAGCTCACGTTTACCCAGCCATGTTCCCTTGGCCTCAGTCAAGTCTGGGCCCTCCAGATGCCCTACTCAATTGGCCTCTTGCAGACTTCTGCTCTCCCCTGCTGAACTTAGCCTGGGACCTTGCTTTGACCTCATAGGTTTTTCTGGAACCATCTGGCTCCCTCAGAAACTCCTGTGGTGTGTACCCACCTCTTCACTGAGCTCCTCAAACTGTGAACCCAAACCAGAGCCACCCCAACCCTCAGGCCCAAGGTTGGGATGGGTGCTGGTTCTGAGCCTAGGCCCCAGAATC